CAAGAGGGCGAGCTGCTATTGACACTATAATGAAGTCATTACAACGTGTTTCCAAATGCCATAGGTACTTGCTCAGCAGAAGCAATGAAGTTCATGCACCTTACAGACATATGGATGTTTCGATTCTCAGACGCCCCCAGTTTTGCAGGTGAATAAATTGCAGGGGCTTGGAGACTCTGGACAATGGACCTGAAAACCAAGCTAACAAATGGTAGCAGGAGGAATCAAACCCAATAGAGCAGAACTACACTGCACTGCCTTCTATCGAATATGATGTATGTACTAGAATTCTCAATCAGGAGACATTTGCAGAGAAATAGAAAACATCAAACCGGCACAGCAGGGCCTTCCATGCAGTGAGCAACGAGTCTGGCTCACACTTAAAGACTCAGAACGTTCAGGAGAGGAACCTCAGTCAACACAAAAAAAAGAAAGAAGTTTTATTTCAATTTTTTTTTGGTGCAAAACATCTTCTGATATCATCTAGTTGCAGACTACGATGAAGAATGACCAATGCATCCAGGAAACACAAAATCTTCCTGAGTTTTGGGAAAGTCTCAGTAGCACTACCCTGTCCAAGCAACATACCACAAAACCAGAGGAAAAGAGAAAGAAAGACTGGTTCAAGTAGTTACATACAATGCTTTGGGAATAATCTAAAATTTCATTTATACGGTTGAAATTATAAAGCCTCAAAGTAATAATGAATTGATGAAGTTAAGGTTTAGTGCCTAGCAAGGTGACATGTGCCTCTGAGACATCTGAAGGATCACTGCAGAGCAAATGGCTAGATTCACAAGCACAATGTTAAGGACAGATAGGCATTGTCTTTCCATGCTCTTGAACTGTTTCTTAACTCTACGATGTAGATCCCATGACATTTCCTTATTGGCAATGTCTTTCTTTTGGTTTGAGTCCCAGGATCTATAACTCAAACAAAGGAAAGGAAGTCCCATCCATCTCGAGACAGAAAAGGAAACAACTGGTCCCCAAGAAGGAAAAGCAGAGGTGAAGCTCTGCTCTTTGAACTGAGATGAGCAGTAAGGAGAGCAACTGCTCCTTCTGAAGGGCTTTATCTGCATTTGAGAAAACATCTGCAATTTTTTCTAGCACAGCACGAGGACTTCTGACATAAATATAAGTCTTCAAAGCTACAGAGCGGTGACCAGCGGGAAGCAGCAGCCTTCTTGTTCAGCAAGGAAGACTATCACATGGAATATGCACAATGAATACCAACGGTGGCAAACTCAGGCCAAGAAAGGCATCTCTTTCTCAGAAGCATTTCAAGACTCAATAGTGAATCAATAAGCATTCAAAAATAACTATTCTTTCTCTAAAGGAACCTTTCAAAGTAACCCAAACAAAGGAACACAAGTCTCTCCAGTTGTTTCTAAGATGTTAGCTTAGATCTATACTGGCCAAACTGTTTAGCCAATGCCTGTCCTGTTTGAAAGGAAAATCAATCAATCCGTCACAAAAAGGTCTATGCAAAATAATGAAGATCCCTAGAACACATTTTATTCTGCACCATCCAACAGTGGCATCCTTTCACCAACGGCAAGCCCGAGGTTCTGTGTGCATGCTTTATCCTCAGAACAATCAATAGCATTATCTGTGGGGCGCTCAAGTCTCTGCCTTTGTGCAAGGCTTTTTAATCTCATCTTAGCAACATTTAAAACACGGTGCAGGGTGCTATAACCTCGGTGCTCGCCATGAATTTAGCCACCTTCACACAATCCACTTGCTGAGCAGAGGCACTGCAGTTTGTTCTGACAAGTAGAGGTTCTGCCAAATGGCAAAGCTAAAGGGACAAGTAAACTGGCCGACAGAACTGCACATCAGATGAAGTAGAGCCCTAAAACCAAAGAGGGAGCAGCCTCATTTCCAAGAGATAAAACAGTATTTTTTTTTTTTTAAAAAGTGAATAGGCAGGCGGATCTCTGTGAGTTCGAGACCAGCCTGGTTTACAGAGCTAGTTCCAGGACAGGCTCTAAAAACCACAGAGAAACCCTGTCTCGAAAAACCAAAAAAAAAAAAAAAAAAAAAAAAAAAAAAAAAAAAAAAAGTGAATAGGAAGAGTTAGGTAGCTGTACTTTCAAAAAACAACAGAAATACAAGAAGTGTTAAAGTAATCCAAACTGAATGAAATGTGGGCTTTCAGAAAATGTATCCTGTTATATATACCATTCCTGTGGAAAACCATGGAAGATGCGGTAGAGTAGCTGACATGGGCATAGAAGACGTATCAAACCAGGGATTTAAGCTTCATTCCCCTAAGTGATTGGAGCCCAGTGGCAGCAATAGCTACAGAACACAAAATCTTTATAACTGCGGAGGGTACGCATTAAACTGCCCATTAAACTGTTGTGGCTTGGCAGCCACCAGAAGAAACCTGCAAGGAATGACAGAGCATTATTTTTTATTAATTAACGAATGCACTTGCCTTGATTTGTGACAATGTGAAGCTAAGCATACATCTCAGAAGCGGGGCGTCAGCCAGTGAACCTGGATCCCAGCTGGTCTCAGCTTTTAAGAATACAGAACCAGCTTTGGAGATTAGCCCACACATCTTTGTCCTTAAGAACAGAAACCTTTCTGACGTTTACAAAATACGCACGATGTACGTGATTTGCGACAAACCTGGCCACCAGTTTTGCTTTTCTGTCTGCATCTTGTCCTTCTGGGGAACTAATCAATCTGATGCAGACACAGGCAAAAGTGGAATACATCCGTGGTTTGGGGAGGGCGCCTAATTTAGAGCAAAGTAATCTACGTGACAAAACCACATGCTAACACAGGACAACAACTTGTACAGTATTACCCAGACTCTTTTCTGGTTATTATCTGTTTCCATTGTTTCTAAGGAGAAATAGGAACACTCGGCTAGTAAACAGTAGTCTCTAATTTCTCAACGTGCCATTAAAATTCCCACACCTTACTTAAGAGGAAAGCATAGAAGTGAGACGCCTGGGAAGAAGTGCCCCTTACTTTAATTCTCATTAGAGTTCACCATCTCTGTCATAGGCTTTTTCTAGTTTTCGTTCTCGAGTCTCCAGAGATGCATGCACATACAGGCAAAGACGCACACTACCACTAAACACGCAGAATCACGGACACCACGACAAAGGCACAGAACAGACACAGTAGTCACAGCCAACCACTGTGACAGTGAGACCTGGTTTTCCTTTAAAGCCTAAAGCTCCCATTCCCACACAGTTCCAGTTCCACCAGGAACTTTAAAGGCTCAGAAAGACAGAACAGGTTGCACCCAAGAGACAAGAAGGAAAACAGAATGTGCGCTTGGGAGATGAGGGCTTTACGGTAAAATAAGCAGCGGTGGCCAGTTGCCCAGTAATGTAGCGTTATTAGAAAATGCCAGTCCAGATTCCAGACGCACGTCATGTCATGGAGAAAAGTAAGTAAATAATAGTGGTCACTGTTTTTAGGAATAAGAATAGTAATAACAATTGTCACCACAGCCTTCCGTACAGCAGCTTGCACGTGGAGCCGCTCCTCCTGCTCCACCGCCTCAGCCTCCAGGCATCCTGCCTTGCCCGCCTCAGAAATAGGGGGCACCGGCGGAACCTGCGGACTCAGTGGGTGGATCCGGTGGGTGTGACAGATGGGAGTGGCCACGTGGGCCCCGCCCCTCGTTCCTATCGCGCCCAGCCCTCGTGCGCCTGCGCTTCCCACTCGCCTATCGCAGGCTCTCGGTTGGTGGCGGCGCTATGCCCCTTGGACCGGGCTTTGGTGGCGCTTGGGCTGCTATTAACGGAGCAGCATCCTGCAGAAACCTGGAAACCTAACTAGAGACGTCGCTAGACGGTCACTGACAGCCAGGACTCGGGGCAAAGGAGATGGATGTGGGAAAGCTGGTGTGTCTGCTAGGAGGCAGGGTCGCGTAGGAGCCCGCCTCTTCGGGGCGGGGGCGGAGGGTCGCCTCACAAGCTACGGAAACTTGGGGCGAGCACGCGCTGCCAACCCGCAGACCTGGAGCGAGCGCTGGCCTGCAGTTACTTTTCGCGGGTAAACCGCTCCAGGTTTCCCGTGCCAGGCGGGCCGCGGGGTAGTCGGTGCCAGGCACTTTTTGAGGTTCCCCTGCAAACAAAGCCGCGTTGAGGGGTGTGAGGAGGTGTATCTTGTTTTGTTATTTTTAGTGTTAACTGGGATTCCCCCGCCTTTAAGGAACATCTCATTGTATTAAAGCCTATTTTATTTTTGACTTGCATAATTATGGGCAAATTATGTCGGCTGAAAGTTAAAACAAGTCATTGTCACACAAGAAAAGAGTTTGTGAGTGGTTAGATGTTGTGGGACTTCGGAGGCGTTTCCAGTAGAATCTTTCGCATCCTCTTTTGACCTTCTAAATCTCTACCGATGATATTTGGGAAGTAGCGAATGAATTACCATGTCTACATTTGGGGAGGAGGCTCTCCATTTACTGACCAAAAATTGCTTTGGCTGACTGAATTTTGTACTCACACGGGAAATGTTAGGGTGGTCCAGCTTAATATTAGTTTATGTTTTATCTATAAGAAACCCGTCTTCCCATATAGCCCAGGCTGTTCCTTCTCTGTCTTTCAAGTGTTGAGCTTACAAGTGTATTCCCCAACTTCTTGCTCATTTACCTGAAATTTTAAATAAGTTTGAGAGCAGGGAGTTTTGACTCAGTGGTAGAGACCTTGCCCAGCATGGCTGAGACCACAGCTTCAATATCCAGTACAGAAAAAAAGCATTGAACTTCCTGAGCGTGCCCCCGTCGCCTCTCTTAAGCCTCAGGGTTAAGCCTGTATTAAAATATATGTAATATTTTAAAAAAATCAACAATGCTTCAAAATATAAGTTTTGAATGATCATTTTCTTCCTCTCTTTTTCTTACTTGAACTCAGTATAGTGCCAGGCCAGGATGGTTTCTGTCAGGATATTTTCTGAGTGACAGACACCTGCCTTTCGTTCACAGCTCATCCTCAGACACCTCAGTTCTCACTTAACCGGCAGTCATGAACAGGACTGACTATCATTCTTTAGCAACACAGCTGCACCCCGTACTTCTCCGAAGACCCTTGCCTCCAAAGCTCCCTACGTTGCCTTTAATTAAGAAAAGAGTTCTCACAGGTATGTAGAAATGTGTGTATTAACTAACCTCGGTGTGTTTTTGCATAGACATCCCTTGCTTTCTATGATTCACAGTAAAGACAGTTATTCCTAACCATAATTTTAAATGTTTATGGTGAGGTGACAACAGCCAATGATCCGTTCTATAGGTGTGCTCATCGATGCATCCACATTTGTGGATTTGTTAAGTGTGAATTTGCTTCTTACTAAAATTTCTTTGAAATCTTCCAGTCAATAGCTGTTTTATGGATATTCGTGAGAACGTGCATGTAGGTAAATAAAAATACAAGTTCTCCAACGCGCATGCACCCAGCCAGAGGGAACACTGCCTCTGCCTTGTTTCAACTCCCGTAATATAAAAAAGTGCTCCTTTCCCAATCTGTTTGTTCCATGTTTCTTGAATTTTTGCGCTCCCACCCTGTTCCCATGATTTCTGTAAGTGTAGTGCTGAAGCTCCGTCTAAGCCGAAGAAGGTTGCAATGCGCTTAGCAGGGAACACGTGTCAGATGAACTTCCTGAATGTGTGAGTGTTCTTGGCTGTGAAGTCCATGCCATTATATAAGTGGAACATAAACAATGTGTCCCTAAAAGCAGAACATATAACCACAAGATTGTGTGTTGATTGGTTGATGAACATGCTGAGGGCAGAGGCTTGCAGGACCCTAGCCCGCGTTTTCCCTAGGATCTCAGTGCAGGGTAACTGAGCATGTGCTAAGAATTCACAACTAGTGAAGATTAAATATTGAGCATGGTGCTAGAAACTGGTGGTGGAACAGTTAGCAAAACCAGACCCAGCTCATCTCCTCCTGTCAGCTTCTATCAGGTAGGAGGGAGATAGAAGTCGTGAGCAAATGTCAGTTCAGCCTGTGATAAGTGACATAAAGATGAGCCAGTCTGGGGGCTTGAGAGTTGGTTTCGTGGCTCTTCCTAGAAGACCCTGGTTCTATTCCCAGCACCAGATGGTGGCTCACAGTTCCAGTGTGCTCTTCTGGCCTCTTCAGGCACTAGACATGCCCATCATGTAGGCAAAATCCTCATACGTTTTCAAAGACTTAAAGATAAGCCACTTTTATAATGTGACTTTATGTAATCCTATTACTCATGTATTTCTGTATATTTCTCTATTAAGTATTGTATTTTTATAGGCAATAATATTTCTTCGCCTTCCCCTCCTGAATCTCCCCTCTACCACTTGACTTTATTGGTTGTATTATTTTGATGCCAACGTTTATATTGTGAGATCTATTTATAATGTCACATTTATTATATTTTTGATCTATGTCAATGAAAGATGTGAAAAGCAGCAAATCCCACACAAGCATTGTTGTGTCGATCCTACGTCATCCTTTCTGTGTCTCTGTAATGTCTTGTGTTTCTTTCTTATTTACAACCTGTTCTATAAGTCGCACCCATGGTCACACAGATTGACAGCTCATTACCAGTTCCTGTGTTGGAATTTCTCTATTTGATTTCTCTATTAATCCTTTGGCTTAACACCATCGTCTAGTGTAGGGTTTCTCAACCGTGGCACTCCAAAGGTTTGCTTTTGGCGTCTTGGAGAGTCTATGACCTTGACTAATCTGAATCCAGAGTACTTTGTTTGTAATGGATAGTTGAGGTATTTGTTCAATGAATGAACAAGCACAGCGGCTCAAGTCTAGTTGATAAGCATACTGGTCATCATACAGAATTAATGACCTTGTTTCTGGTTTTCATCACCTTTCAATTAGCCACCAGTAATGAGCTTCCCTGCAAATGAAAAGGTGAAGCGGCCGGTCAAAGCAGCATTGGATGTGCTGTGTGTCTGGGGACAGACCGATGTAGTTAGCAGATGAGAAGGTCCTGGGGTAGGAGCCAGGCTGGAACCAGACCTGGACTTAAAGTGGTATAAAAGAGGAGACTATGTGGTTTTGGAGAGCAGAGGAAAGTACTGGGAAAGAAGGAACTTGATACTTTAGACAAACTGAGATCATAGTGAAATGGCCCAGTTAAGGATGCTGGTACATTTTTGTTCTCTATCAGCAGAGGAGGTTCTTATATGTTAGGGAGATCAGTTTCCCCTTCAGCAGACAGTTCTGGGAGTTCTCCACAAGCCCACAAGTCTCCCCGGTTAGTTTGAAATGGGAAATTTCATGCCCCTCTCCAGCCACCAAAAGGAGAGGGAGATTAAGGGAACAAGATTGCTTGCAATAGCACTAGCCACAGCCCCGTCTCTGAACCCAGATATGTTCACATAGAGAGTTGAGATATAGTAGTTGAGCCGCCAGATAGAGAACTTATGTACCTTCCTACTGAAGTTCTGCCATAACAAATCTCTTCCCTCCCCACTGGAATGTCATTTTCCTACCATTTATTGCATCAGTTAAGACGGCAGGAAAACGACACCTGACATTCGGTCCCGTAGGTATATATGATGGCGTGAGATACCCAAGAGTGCAGGATCCGTGGATTTCTGGACCTAAGAGAAAGCGTTCTTCATGGAGAGATGAACATGTGGCCTCCTCAGTCGATGTCAGCTTGTCCCTGTGTCTGAAAGACTGCTTTTCTATTTTCATTTGACATTAAAAAGAAATGCTGAGCCGGGCGGTGGTGGCGCACGCCTTTAATCCCAGCACTCGGGAGGCAGAGGCAGGCGGATCTCTGGGAGTTCGAGACCAGCCTGGTCTACAAGAGCTAGTTCCAGGACAGGCTCCAAAAACCACGGAGAAACCCTGTCTCAAAAAACCAAAAAAAAAAAAAAAAAAAAAAAAAAAAGAAATGCTGATCTGTATTTTAAAAAAGTACAGATGGGACAAGCTAATGATGAAAGAGCCATTTCGTCAAAAATCACTGTTCACTTTCCCCACTCATAGTACCAGAGTTTTAGTCACAACTGCCCCAGATCTCTATGTCTTGTACCTTTCTCCACGCCTTGGGTTCTTCCAAGAGCTGTTCTCCATCCTTTGTAAGTCATTTTTGCTGTTTTAGCTCACAGTGGTTTGTTCAAAATGTATCTCCCCAAATGTATCCCCATCAGCTTGACTGAAGTCTCCACAGCGAAACAGGGGTAGCTTTTCTTTCGTTTTTTAAGGTGAGTGAGCAGTTAAATGAGAAAATAAATGCTCGACCTTTAGCATCTTTGTTTGGACAGCTTGATACAGACAGACTAATTATATCCCTGTCCCCTCTTTCTCTTGTTCAGCCCCTCCTGATGGATCTGAGAAGACCCATGTAAAATTGCCCCACGATGAAAGCGCATCGGTAAAAAGCGACCATGGTGCTTCTCAGTCACAGAGACCTATCAGTATTCAAAGTATCTCTCTTGACCATGACCGTAAGGCCTGTGAGAGAGTGGTTAACATTTTACCACGTAAACGCGGCTCTCGCCCCTTCATACACTGGAAGATCCCACATAGTGCTGCTGGTTCCATATTTGTTCCAAGCTGTCTGTCGGCATCCTCTCGAGTTTTTAGGAAAAAACTACGCCAAATAAGGAGAGCCAGAAAGGCCAAGAAAAAGGAAGAAAAAAGAGATGCGATTTTCCCGGATAAGCCATTTAGAAACACTTTAATTCTCACCAATCAGTTTTCCAAGCCTTTACCCCCTTCTTACTCTAGGCATATAATCTCTAAACTTAAGGTACCACGTGCTGAGCCTCACCCTGTACCAAAGTTACCAAAGTCTCCAGACTATACTCAAGAAGTTACTCTTCCGAGATCTGAAAGCCAAACACTGCTCAGCCCTATACCCAGCTCCTCATCTTTAGTACCAGAACCACGGTGGTCCGAACGACCGCCACGCCCCTTCGCAAAAGTAAGTCAACTGGTACTGAACATCGCTACCCTTCCCGCAGCCCATACTCTGCCAACGCCTGTGTTACCGAGAAGACCTCCGAGACAGATGGTAATAGGTAAATAAAATTGAAACATGGTCGGCTGTAGTGGGGTTGATCAGAACAAAGGGAAGAGGAGAAATTCAAGATGGATGGCTCCCTTCCTTCTGGGTTTTCAGGGTGGAAAGAAGGACCCACCTTTTCAATTGGACAGTAATGCCCCAGCTTGGGAGCAGCAACAGACATCCTGACCTTATAGAGGTGCCGGTGCCAACCTGGCTACCGCATCCAGATAGTATTGATGAGAGCTGATCAGGAAGCTCAGAAAACGTAGAAAGGGGTGGGCAAGAAGGGGCCCGTGATGCATTAGGTGGGGCCTGGTGTCTAGTGAGAATAAGCAGCAATTTAGAGGGCGGCCTAGATGATCCTGAGTTCCTTAGGAAGACGGGACGTGTTGGTAGGTGCGTGCCAGTCCATTAACTGGTGAATAATTATAATGGAACCACCCTCAAAGGGGTCTAAAAGTTGTCCTTTGTTTTTCTTTCTATCTAGAAACTGTGGCAGACAGCGGAAAGGTAGAAGCCCCTAGACAGCCTGATGGTAAATGCCGGGTTCATACCATTCTTTTAGAAACTGTAAGATTCCTTTCTCTCGATATTTGTGTTTGTGTGTGCAAGGCACACACATCTGTCCTACCTCATTTCCGGTTCCTTGGGCCATTTGTTGCACCAGCAGTTACTTCTTACATCTCGATGATGTATCCCTGATGTACTGATGTTGCGAATGTGGAAGCTAAAGTGTTCTTAATTGAGACAGGGCTGATAGACATGGCGTTATGAGAGTCAACTCGTACCATATACCAGGCTCCATTCGAAGTGCCCAGACCTCGGTCTTCTAAGCAGAAACAAATGAAGCCCGTGTTAAGGAAAGATTACATTATTCTGCTGCCAGGGCTGGTGGCAGACGCCTGTCATCTCATCACTTACTTAGGTGGAGGCGGGAAGATTGGAGAGTTCCATGCCAGGCTAGGTAATAAGATACTATCTAAAATATTAATGCTATTTTGGACCTCATATTTATGTCTACCTACAATCTGATGGACATAGTATGTGACAAAATAATTTATCCTTGTGAAGCACGCGAAAACACAATTAATGAAGAGCAGCAGAAACAGTATTAGGGTTACCCGGCAGATGGCAGATGATTTGAAATAAGGAGTTTTGGTCCTGCCCATCATTACTGAGTAACCACTACAGTTCAATCCACCAAAAGGTGCGTAAAACAGCTGCCAGAGTCAATGGAGAGTAAGCGTGCAGGCAGGACGTAGACGGCCCCAATCCCCAAACCTAGAGAAGCTGCGGGTTAGCAGGGAGCAAGCCGCAGCCCCAGGGAGCAAGCAGCAGCCCTGTGCCTGAACTCTCTCTGTCCCTTCTCCAGTGACCAGGTTCCACCGCCTCCCGTTGCACACGTTTCTCGAGTTTTTGATTGGGTTTACCTTTGCTGGATTCAGAGCAAGCGCAGTCTGTTTTAAAAATTTGAAACTGAACATATGGGGTTGTGGTCCTTCTGAGAGGCTTCGTTCCTTCCTGAAGCAATTATAGACAACGAGTCTTATGTTTTGATTTGCTTCCTGTAGTGCTAATTAGAATCGCGAGAAGAGTGGACCCCGAGGCCCACGTGTTACAAGGGGAAGGCTTTAAGACTATCACGGCAACCCGCTACGAGACAGTAATGGCGATGAGCAGCCTGGCCATAATAAATTGCCAATTATATGGAAGAAATGCACTTAATCTTAAGGTATGCTAGGTCCCCTAACAGTGACGTCCTCTTGTGTTATCCGTTGTTTTCACCGTCAGTTTCCCCATATACATTGTTTCCATTCAGTTGAGGGAGCCTTGCCCATCACAGCAGAGATTTCCCAGCAACGCATGGCAATGCTGTCTCTAAACTGACCTGTCCAACTTTGTCTTCGGTTCACCAGTAAAGTTTGAAAGGACACTGAGGCTCAAAGAAAGTACTCCGTTTTTTTTTTTATTTTCTTCACCATTTAGCCTGATAAGTAGAATTGAAATTGTTCCCGTTTTTAAATTGCCAGGAACTTTATATCTTGAGTCAAGTCTAGCGTGAGGCTGGTTGGCACTCAACACTGGCGCTGCCCAGCAAATGAACCACAGGTTCATTTAGGTACTGTTCGGTCATTTATTAAGCGCACACTATGTTCTAAGCCGGGGCTTCTCCTGCAACTCCCATTCTGCAAAGTGGGCATTAGTGATAATCTCATTCCACAGATGCAAACATGGAGGTGGCAGGAAAACTTGCCCAAGACCTCACAGTAAGTCAACGGAGCTGTTTGCTTGTCTGACACACACACACACACACACACACACACACACACACACACACACACAAAATATCTATCACACATACACGCAAAGAACAATTTGATTTGAATTATGTAGAGTTGTAATTTTTCTCTTAAAAGATCAGAAAAGTTTTGGCAGTACATCCTGTAGTGTTACCAGTTAGAAAACTGAACTGTTCAACATAGAATTTACTGTTAATAATTAATATCTTATTTTGCGTTACTCCCCTAGGGATTCTTTCTTCTGCACTGTCCAGACTTAACACCGATTGCTTTTCAATTGGTATACCTTAATTTATCATTTAATGACCTCAGCAAGTTTCCTATGGAAGTGAGTACACCCTTTTCCTACCTATATTGCTATAATTTACTATTGTAAATAAAAGTAGACATCTTTATTGTTGTGATCCAGCTGCCCTCACTCCCCCTGACTGACAGCCGAACTTCCTTGTGGTCTGTAATTGACAAGGATGTTCGTGTTCTTTCTGGCTGGTGGGTCTCCACAGAAGGAGTAGAGGTATAAAAGGTTGCTGGGCAAAATAAAGGTTGCTGTTCTTCCACCTGAAAAGAAGCCTCCGTGTGTCAATCCCGGCACCCCCACCCCCACCAGTGTCTTCTCTCCAGGCTGCGCTGGCTGCAGCATTTATGATATCCTGAAGATATTATGAAACACATGCGTGTTGGGCTGCATCCTTCTTTATTAGAAGTGAAGAAAGCACAGCACGTTTTTCTTTGGAAAATCAGTGATGCAAACCTCAAACGCTCTATTGCACCAAGCTCTCAAATATGTTCTCATGGTTTATCTAGCGCATAAAAAAGAATTCATTCTTCTTTTAGTAACAATTAAAATGAATTTGTACGTGTGCCAGTCAGGAATTAAAAGACCAGGTTAGCCTGGGCGGACTGGGGTGAAACAATTTGGTCTGCCCGGAACAGGATCCTCTCGCTCAGGAACTCTCAGCCGCTGTAGTTGCCTGCCCAAGAGAGCTGGAGATCAAGCCAGGCAGTGGTCTGGTGTGAGTGGAGGAGGGGCTCCTAAGCCCCCACTCCTGTCTGACAGTTGATGACTGCTGGAGGGAGGGGCAAGTCTGTTTTCCTAAGTGTCTGGCCCCTGGCAGGTCAACCCATTCCACTGAATGGCCTTATAACCGTGACCGTATGGGAAGCACAAATTAGACTCAATAGTAGACTATTTAAAACTCACAAGAGAGTGTGATGTTGGGGGAAGGGATTTGGGATTTGGAGTTAGGAGGAGAAATGGGAGTGAACATGGTTAAGATACGTTTTCTATATTATTAAATTCTCCAAGAGTTAATAAAAATATTTTTAAAATGTTAGTGACCAGACCATATAAACACTGTAACAAGTTTTAGCTGTCAGCAGCTAAGATAGGGAAACCAGGCATAGGGTGACTTAATTTGATACCCCTTTTTTTAAAATAAATGAGGCTTTACAAGTTGTTTGGATAGGCTCTGTTTATACTGCCTTATCCAGCATTTTGCTGACCACTGGATAATAGATTGTTTTATGAAATGACTTTCAGTCTATTGGCTTTTTCTTAGTGAACGATTTTCAGCAAATGGACTTCTCTATTTCGCTCAGTGTTGAGAGCATGGTTTCCGACAGCTCAGCAACAGGCCTATTTCATGAATCTTATTCTCTTGGTGAGTGAGAGCATGCGCACACACGTGCACACCCTTGTGCATGCTACAGTCCATGCTGATGAAGACGTGTGCATGTGGACAGGACAGGTGCTGTGATGTGTCTTATTTCACGGGAGAGGACCACTTTTCTCTCTAGCACACGGCACTGGGTTTGTTAGGTTAGTGAAGCCATGCTAAGAAGCGTTTCTAACTACAGGAATCTCGGTTCTTCATGTTTATCTTTCTCCTGAGCAGACACAGATAAGGAGTGCTTGCCAAAAACAAAACCCCCCCAAAAAACAAAAACAAAACCTGTCCATCTGCTGGAAGACGGAGCGTACAAATACAAGGCTATAATTGTCACATAAGAATATGGTGCTAAATGCAAAGGTGTGATTGCCTTATTTCTGATTCTAGTGGAACTGCATTGAGTTTGTCTCAATTTAGGTTGATGTTGGCTGTGGCTTCTGGTGAAGGAATATTTTCTTGACTGTTTGTGTTTTTACGCTGGGGTCTAGGCATCTGGAGTTGTACTTGAGGTGTGTATTGGCTTGATATCTGGTCTTGTCTTTGTTGGGTGGGTGTTCAGTTCTTGGGTTATTGTTCCTATCTGTGGGTCGTAGGCAAGTGTGGTGGTTGTGGGTTCCCTGGTAGGGTAGAATATTCTTTTGTGGATCAGTGTGTCAGAAAAGAATAGTGATGGACTAAGAAGTAAGGCTGAGAAGAGCTGTAGGAAAGAGCTAGGGCGACCTTAACTTCTCACCAAGAAGCAGAGCCCCCCAGGGAATGGAGATGAAGGGAGGAGGGGTTCCCAGCAAGGCACCACAAGACTTACAGGAAGGCTGAATGTATCATAATGGAGGACAGACAGAGAGGGTAGCAAAAATTGCATTCCTGATTCCTAGTCCAGTTTGACCTTTGGGGGTCACTATTAGAAAGAGTTTCTGGGGATGGGCAATTAACACAAGGAATGACTATGGGTTAGAAGGGAAGGCTGACAGGGTCGGCTGGAAAGAGTTAAGTTGGGTTGCTGCCATGAGTCCCCAGAGAATCAAAGCAACTAATTCTTAATCAAGGAGTCAAGGAAGAATCGAAATAGAAATTAGAGAATTTTGAAGATGAATGGTAGTGAAAACAGGTGTCAATATTTATTTGGTGCATCTGAAACTGCTCAGGGGAAAATAGACAGCTGTAAATACCTATTTTAAGAAAGAAGTATCTTGCCTGGTGGTGGTGGTGGCACACACCTCTAATCCCAGCACTGGAGAGGCAGAGGCAGGCATGTTTCTGTGAGTTTGAGGCCAGCCTAGTCTACAGAGTGAGTTCCAGGACAGCTAGGATTGCACAGAGAAACCCTGTCTCAAACAAGAAACGAACAACAAAAAACTAAACAAACAAAAATAAAGAAGTATCTCATAGCAATAAAATAACCTTCCAACTTAAGGCATCAGAAAAAAAGTGAACTAAACCTTAAAGAGACTAGAAAAGGAATAATAAAAGTTAGTATAGGGATTTGAGAACAGGAAATCAATAGAGATAAGGCAAAAATGCAAGAGTTATTAATGTGGGATTCCCCTTTGTATGTTCTGAATGTTTTATTACCGTTAGTTAATAAAGAAGCTGCTTTGGCCTGTAGCAGGGCAGAACATAGCCAGGTGGGAAATCCGGACAGAGATATATAGAGAGAGTAGGTGGAGTCAGAGAGATGACTTGTAGCTACTGAAGAAGAAAGATGCTGGAACCTTACCAGTAGTAGGCCGCAGCCTCATGGTAATACACAGATTAATAGAAATGGGTTAATTTAAGATGTAAGAGCTAGCTAGAAATATGCCTGAGCCATTGGCCAAACACTGTTGTAATTAGCATAGTTTCTGTGTGATTATTCGGGTCTGAGCAGTCAGGAAATGAACATACAGTCTCTGCTTACAAGTTACTACTTTGAAAAGATCAACAAAATTGACAAGGATTACATAGAAAGACCAAGAAAAAAAATACAGAAGATTCAAGTTCCCAAAATCAAGGATGAAAGGTCACTGTTGACCTTACAGAAATACCAAGAAAGAGCTTAGACTTTTAAGTAACTATTCCAACCAATTTAATAACTTAGATGAAATGAATATATTTCTATAAACACTATAAGAGCAGACTAAAATATGAGTGATTTATTACAATAGCTTCAACAATAATTTTAAAACATTCCACAAAGAAATGTTTCAGTATAGATGATTTCATGAGTGAATACTTTCAAATTATCTAGGAAGAATTAAAACAATCTTTCACAAACTCAACAAAGAGAAGATGAAAGAACATTTTTCCATTTCAAACCATCAAGCCAATAATAGCAAACATCAGCCATAACAAGAAAAGTAAGTACAGAGTATCATCATGCCTGTATATGTCATGTCCTCAGCCATGTTTCATGTCCTCATGACATGTTTCCAGTCCAACATACAAAAGCAACTTCACGCCACAACCAAGTGAGATTTATCTCAGGAATACACAGATGGCTTAACATAGAAAGGCTGATATAAGATTAAAACATGAAAGGGGAAACACAATTATCCCAATAGATATCCTAGAACACAGCTGAGACTGTCAGCACCTTTTCAATACCCCGTCCACTCAACACGTAGGGATAGAGGAGACAACCCTTGCAAACCCTCACAGCTAGTGCACTTGATGACGGAAGACTGGAAGTTTGCCTCCTCAGGTCAGGAACAAGATGGAGATGGACATTCTGACTTCTTCTGTTCAACCTTGCACTGGACTATCTAACCAAAGCAATTGGCCAAGTGCTGATATCTATCCAGATCAGAAAGAAAAAATATGATGGACTATATCTACAGCTTGACAACCAATTATCCCATCAAGATGCATGAACATTTTATCTCAACTATATGAAACAGTTTTGAAGAAGAGAAGATATGAAAGCCGTGATCTGATATGCAGGTGATATGACCCTTCATACAGCTATAGTAAATCCAGTAAAATCCAGTTATAGTGTGTACTTCCTGAAAGGTTGCAGAGCATAAGGTTAATGCAGAAAAAAGTCAACTGTGTTTTAGTATGTCATCAGTATGCAGTCTTGATAAGAAAATTCCTAAAACAATTTCATTTAAAATCACATGAAAAAGAATAAAATATTTAGGAATAGGGTCAACCAAAGCTCCATACCTACCCTGTGAAATTTCAGTCGGAAAAAAAATTATATGAGACATGTATAAGTGAACAAACATCTCAGGTTCATTGGTCCAGAGGTTTGATATTTTTCTGATGATAATGATTCCAAATTTATTTACAGCTTAATTCAGTTTTACATTTCCATATGAAAAAATTGATGGGCATGAAAGAGTGTATCACCTGGCTATGGTGAATCCTGCTGGGGGGTATTTCCCTCATCTTTATCTGATGGTCTTATATGAAAATATGAGTCAATAAAAATTTAGGACTTTTCCCAGATTGAAATACTCTAACCTGCAGGGAAGCCCTTAAAACAGAAAAAAAAAAAAGACAAACAACCAAACAAACCCAACCAAACAACCAAACAAAGCAAACTCAAAATAGCTTCAGGAAGTCCCTGAAACTAACTAGATTCACTACCTCACTACCTGCCTCCCAAGGAATAAGTGGTAAAGACTGCTGAGAGTCACCATGGGAGGAACAAAGCTGAAAAGAAGATCCTGAGCTAGCATAAGTGCCGGGAAGAAACAGGCTGGCCAAGCTGCCAGAAGTGGTTTAGACCAGCTGAGTGTCTTGGAAGGGATACTCTCCAATCTGCTGAACTGCCTGCAGGTGGTGCAGTGTGTTTCAGGTTCCCATGAGCTGTCACCCGTGCTGGGGCGGGCTTTGGTGATGCACCTGTCATTTCCGCGCCTGTATGTAACCCCTCACTCATATTCCTGTAAGTGACCCCCGATAAAACTCATTGGACTTGGTCCGTATCCAGACTCGTCGTCTCCGTTGTGGACCCCCTCTCTGGGATGTGTATGTTGTGTCTGTTATACCCGTGTCACGGGACCCCCCCCCAAACGAGACCACCACAGAACCAGTATCTGATGCAAACACGCTGGGATTATTGATTCCAAGTTAGCTAACTCAGACTGTAATCCAACACACCGCCACGGTGGGTGGGGGAGAACGGCCCCGAGGCTTTAGGGTAGGAGGTTTTAAAGGGGAAAGCAGCAAGCAGGATGGCACAAGCCTTGGCATTTCGGGACTGGGTAAAAGAATACCACTCTTGAATCTGTTGGTGGAGGTATAGGGGAATTTCAAACCAGTGGTTAATCAGATACCTCAAGGACGTTTGAAGCAAGCAGATGTAAACAGGTGTTGCTTGGGTACCCTGGTGGGTCGCTTTGACCAGGGCAGGTACAGTTTCTTGGTAATGTTTTTGACTTTGCTGGGCTGCATTCATTCCCCTAGTTAGGTCCTGTCTAAAATAGAGTTCTTTCTCAAAATGGAGTTTGTTCTACTCCTTCAGTATCTTTCCAGGAAAAGTCTTGTCACACAATTGTGTGTGTGTGTGTGTGTGTGTGTGTGTGTATCTGACTGTGTCTGTGCGTGCATGTGCACATGCATGTGGGTATCCATGTAGGCCAGGAGAGGACTTTGGACCCCCTGCAGTTACAGGCAGTTGCCAGCTTGGGTAGAAGGTTGAGACCTCCAGTCCTCTTCAATGGTAGTGAGTGTCCTTACCCTCTGAGGCGTCACTCCAGCGCTCCGAGGATAATTCTTGAGTCAGGGACACATAAGCAAAGTAAGTTTTTCTGTCTCAACATATCATCATATTAACCCCAACCTTTGATTTTGAGGACTTTCTTCTCTTAATTCATTTTATTCCAATTAGTTCATAAATTAAAACACCACATAGCCTCTCACCCTGTGCATCGCAGTGAACGTCTGTCCAGTTACAAGGGCCATTCTGAAGCCAAGGAGCCCCCACTCAGGGGTCACTTTGACCACCGATTCCATTTTCATCAGCTTCTCCACCACACATCCACACGCTTCCGAAAGGAAAACCAGGCCCTATCGGCCATCCTGCCTACCAGGACAACATGGAATCTGAGCCAGGACTCTAGCTCTTGTCAGAGAAGTTTTCTTCTTGCAAAATACGTGGCCATTGACACAGAGACTGTCAACTGGTCAGGTGCCGAGGGTGAGAGACTCTGGGGTGCTCAGCCTGAAATGAGAGGCGCATATTGCAACCCCTGCTATACAGCTCGGGGTCTGTGTAGAAGTGGGCACTGGAAAGGTCGTAAGACCTGGAGGTGGTGGATGACTTCATGGGAACTGTTTTCCAGCAGGGCAGATGCACGGGTGAACTCACGGAAATTACCACAGCATGCACGAGGCCGGTGCAAACCCAAGCCAAACCCGCTTCCAGCATGGAGAGGGAGGTGGGCACAGCGTCCCACCCCTAGCTGAGGCCATCAGCATTTGATAATTGCTTGGTGAGGGAAAGGCAATTTTCACTAATGCTGTGTCCCACCAGTAGGTCAACCACACTCCACAGAGTCTTCAGTGGGTGGAGGTTGGTGGGGAGGGACAAGGCATGCTGATGAAGTTGCATGGGTCCGGAGGAGGGAGTGGGGTGGATCTGAGAGGAATGGGAGAAGAAGGGTGAATACGATCAAAACTCATTATATGGAAATCTCAAAGAATTAATAAAGTCATTATTTAAAAGGAAAAAAGTATGGCTGATGAAATTAGAGCTTTATAGCCTCCTTTGTGACTCAGACGTCCCCCCCTCCTCTTACTCATCACTCAGTGCTACCCTGCTTTGGTCTTTTTTTCTCAAAGTGTTTATTGAGCCACACGATATGAGTCATCATGGTTTTCTACACCAATCTTACTGTATTGGTTTAAAACATTTATAAAAGGCACACATGAGTTTGTAGACTTCTCATTCAATTAACATTTGTTTTTCTTTTCTATTCCCCAGATCCTTCAGCTTAAAAATCTACAAGTACTGAAACTGAGAAATAACCCTATCAGAGAAATTCCTTTTGAAATCCAGCAATTGAAGTACCTTAGGAATTTCTCCATTGCCTTTAATTTTATTAAAGAGCTTCCTTTTGGGTAATGTAAATTATTTGTATCTATTTTACTTAGTTGTAAATTATTTAGTAAAGTCTCCGTTTCCCTTTTGAAAGTGGCTAGAAGCATTTTGCCTACTTACAAATTCTCATTCTGGTACCATTAGCAGATTCGCTTCTTACTGTGCGAATAAAACCAACCCAGCCACACAGGGCAGTTAGGATGGCTCTGGTGAATACAGAGCCCTGTGCCTCCCGCTGACAATGCTTTTGCATATGGGAAACACCGCACTGGGCATTAGGAGCTTGCAATGTGTGCTTTATTACTGAGGATGACGGCCTGAGGTTCTGTAGAAGGCAGTCTGTGTGTTCTGGCCCTTGATTTTCCAGTCTGTAACAAGAAGACGGATCTATATGATGGTTGAGAACCTTTGCGTTCTAATAAGAATGCTGACCTTGAGTGTAGGAAGGTGGCGTTCTCTCTTAACGCTTGAGGGAAATTTTAAACTGAATCTTTAGCCAAATCACCAAAACCAGGTAGCTCTTTCAATTAAGAGTTTAACAAGCTGAATATAGTAAGTTAAGGGTGTGTGTGTGTATGTGTGTGTGCGTATGTCCATGCACATGTGTTTGTGCGTGTTATGTAGATGTAAATACACATAGCTATATCTGTATTATATATACATAACTATACATATTCATAGGCAATACAGCACCTAAATATGAATTCATAACATATAATCTGTAGTCATAATCACATACTTTAAATAGTCCTGTCACTGAAAATGTGACAGTCCCTATGGTAACTAAAATTTGGTTGTAATTCAAGAGTCAACCTTTGTCATTGTTACACACTGGCCAAATTGCATAAACTGTTGGTTACAATAAAATGTTTCAGGTACTTTAAACATATTAGTATTTCTAAAGCAAAGTGCTATTTTTACTAACTATAATTAGATGTGCATGTCTATCAAAGACAGATTGGCAGCATACTAAACTCAAAATGGAAAACAGTAGTACAGTCTTACCGATTGCAAAGAAAACACAGAGCAACCTCTGACATGACGGGAAATGCTTGTTCAGTGAAAACTCACCTAGAGGGATGACACCACAAAAGATGCCATTGCACCCCTATTTAAAACTGTCAGCCCTCTCGCTTGCTCAGCCAGGGAGACCTGATGGCACTGTGGCAGGATTTAGGAAGCATCACCTGAAACCAGGGAAACGCAGTGAACCGAGCAGGTCTAGCATCCTCGAGTCGGTTATGCCTCCAGACACATTTCACACTCTGGTCGTTACTGTCTGAAGTAGTCACATAGATGTGCAGTGGACATCCCACTTTAATTCTTGGGCTTCAGCACATGTTCTTATACACCTGCTATGCGCTGCCGGGGCTCCTGGTCCGTCGGGAAGACAGACAAGTCAATATAATTAACAACATAAAATTATGGAGCTGTGCCCTGTAAGCTCTGTGGACAGGAAAGGGTAACATGGAAGCCATGCTGTGGGTTCAGAGTCATTCCCTGAAAGAGAGGATGCCTAACCAAATGCAGCTTCTGAGTTGGCTCCATCTCAGGGGTCGAGCAAAGGATGGTCATTCCATGAATGGGATAGATGTTTCTTGAATGAACAGAGTTCCAAAGCATCATATATAATGTAGGTTAGAAAATAGCAACTTTTTGCTAAATTTTGCAACCTACAGGGCAGAGCCAACTGGAGTGATAAATGGGTCTTTGTGAGGTAAGGGGAGGAAGTATACTTTACAGAATGACTGGCCATCATGGGGCTTTCTATAGGGCAGTGGTGGAGCCAAATTCTCCTTTGGTGACACTTGTAGCAGTGTGAAGAATGGCTCTGTGAGAACAAACCAGAGTTCACAGTGACCACTGGGGACCATCAGAGTGGTTGAGGCAAGAGAGGAAGAGAAGGTGGACTCGGGCCATGGAGTGAGCACTGCAATATCTAATACTGGTTAAGACGTAGCAAGGAAAAGGAAAAGAAGCATCTGGGTTTAAAGGTCAGAGTAGGGGCTGGGGAAATGACACAGTTCTTATGAGCACACACGGCTCTTCCAGCGCCAAGCCCTGCTCCCAGCACCCATATTGCGTCGCTCACAACTGCCTGGAGCTCCAGCTCCAGGGGATCACATGCCCACTTCTGGCCTCTCCTGGTATCCACACGCATGTGCACAGACACACAAATAACATATCCAAAATAGTCATATTGTGCACTGATAGATAAGAGGTAGTTACAGAGACCAGGGTGAAGGGAACGCCCGGGCTATACAAAGGCAGCCTGATGCATCATGGAAGACGTGAGCGGATCCCTTCCTAGGAGGAGGATGGGAAGAGTTAAATAAAACAGAGAAGCCCAGTCAGACGAAAGCCAAATGGTCAGCGCAGAAGCCACAAAGGGAGTTTGTGGACAGCCTGAGCTACCCTGCCTCAAAAAACGAAGGAGATTGCCTTTTCCTATTATTACTTGCTTACATTTTTTACTTAGGATTTTTATGTACTGAAGCTGTTTTTCCTTTTCTCTGTCACTTGGGTGACTAAGTTTCTCTAAAAGTATGGTCTTTCTAGTCATATGACATCTGTGTGCCACAGGAGAGAGAGCCCTGCTCCCCAAGGCCAGCTCAGTACCGTAGATGCTGAACCTTGTGGGGAGCCACTCATGGCCTTGACGTCATTTTCTATTGGCAAGGCTAGGCTAAGTGCACTTCATCTCAAGAACACTACAAAAGTCAAGGGGAAATAGCTTTGTAAATTGTTTTGTAAATTCCTCCAGTTATTTCTAAATCCTTTTCTTTTCTCCTGAACCTACATTTCTACAATGAAATAAGACATCTAGATCATTGAAAGTTTCTTCCCCTTTTATGTAAAATAGATTTTTTTTCTCATGTAATATATTCTAATTATGGTTTCCCATCCCTCTGCTCCTCCCAGTCCCTCATCACCTCACCTCCCATCTGAATCCACTCCCTTTCTGTCTCTCATTTAGAAAACAAGCTTCTAAAGGATAATAATAAGATAAATAATAAGATAAAACAAGAGAAAGGAACACATTGGAATTAGACAAGACAAACAAAGAGAAGGAAAAGAGCCCAGAAGAAGGCACAAGGAACTTTGGGACCCACTCATTCACACACTCAGGAATCTCACAAAAACATTACATTGGAAGGAAGCCATAATAGATGCAAAAGACACACCTGTGCAGGAGACCGTGAGGTTTGCCCACGTTGATTAGAAGGCCTTGTTTCACTCACGTTCTCTAGTCCCTGTGGCGCTTATGTACTTCCTCCTTTCCTGCTGGGTTCCCTGAGCCCTGAGGGGAGGGATGTAATAAAGACTTCCTGTTTAGGGCTGAGTGTCCCAAGGTCTCTCACTGTGGGTCTCTGTATTTGTTCCCATCACTGGAGGAAGCTTCTGTGATGGAGGCCGAGCAAGACACTGATCTATGAGTCTAGCAGAGGTCATTGGGAGTCATTTTATTGCTGTGTTCTTTTAGTAGGATAGTAGTGTTTGTCTTTACCCTACATCCCTGGGCCATCTAGTCTCAGGTTCTTGGTACCCAAGTCGTGTTGGGTGTGGGTCCCATCTCCTGGAGTGGTCCTTAAGTCAAACCAGATTTCGGTTGGCTCCTCCTACAAGCTCTGTGCCTCCGTTGCACTAACATATCTTGCCGGCAGATATCATTGGGGCGTTGAGAGCAGTGATGTTGAGAGACATCAGTGAGCAGCGTTTGTTGATTGTTGAGTATGATTGACTCTTTGGGTTGGAGTTTTCCTTCTAGCCTCCCATGGGACATTATTTGTAGACAGATACTGCTTAAATTTGGTTTTATCATAAAATGTCTTATTTTCTCCATCTGTTGTGATTTGTGATTGACAGTTTTGCTGGGTATGGTAGTCTAGGTTGGCATCTGTGGTCTATTAGAGTCTGTAGCACATCTGTCCAAGCCCTTCTGGCCTTTAGAGTCTTCATTGAGAAGTCAGGTGTTATTTTAATAGGTCTGCTTTTACATATTACTTGGTCTTTTTCTCATTGTACCTTTTAATATTCTCTCTTTGTTCTATATAGTCAAATGTTTTGATTGTTAAGTGTCAAGGGGACTTTCTTTTCTGGTTCAGTATATTTAGTATCCTGTATGGTTCATATACTTTGATAGGCATCTTCTTTAGGTTAGGAAATTTTTCTTCTATGATTTTTTAAATATATTTTCTGGGTCTTTGCTCTAGGTTTCTTCTTCAGTTATTCTTAGATTTGGTCTTTTCATAATGTCCCAGATTTCCTGGATGTTTTGTGCCAGGAGTTCTTTTTTTTTCTTCCTTTTTATTTTTTAGATTTAACACTTTCTTTAACCTGTGTATTCATTTCATCTGTTATGTTTTCAATGCCTGGGAATCTATCTTCCATCTCTTCTATTCTGTTGGTGAGGCTTGCCTCTGAGTTCCTACGTTTTTCTTTTCCACATTCCCCTCAGTTTAGGTTTTCTTTATTGATTCTGTTTTTACATTCCCAGGATCTTGACCGATTTTTCCTCGTTTCCTTCCCCTGTTTGTGTTTTCGTAGATTCCTCGGAGATACTTGTTCATTCTCCTTTAAAGACCTCTATCATATTCATAAAGTCTATTTTAAGGTCTCTTTCTCATGCTTCAGTTGCAGTGCTCAGGCCCCGCTGTGGTAGGGTTGCTGAGCCTGGTGGGGACAGATTGTTGCTGATCGTGTTTTTACTCTGACATCTAGACGTTTGGGTTTGGAAAGATTGTAATTCTAGGTGCTGATACCTGATATTGTCTTTCCCCCCCCCCCTTGGTTTCTATTGACCTCTCTAGTTCTTAGGAGAGTGTGTTGGCCGTATGTTGTCCAGTAGGAAATTCTGCTGGGATCCTGACAGATGTGGCCACTGGGGTTTCCAGATAAATCTGTTTCTAGGAATAGGAATGGACTGGGGAGGTCCATAGAGGGGAGAAAAGTAGGATGAGCCACTGGGATCTGCTTAGTTCCCGGGAATGGAGCAGAGAGTGAGGAAAGGCCACAACAGGCGATCTTCTACAGAGCTGGGAATGAGACTGGGCAATTGGATTTGGAGGAGCAGAGGGAGAGTGAGGATCTGCTGTGGGTCTACCCTCCTCCCTGACTGGTCTAGCCTGTGGTTCCCAGAGAGTGCCTCCTCCCGGAGTTAGAGGCTGGGATGATGGGATAACCTAGGGGAAGGAAGTTGGAAGGGCAAGATCTCTGTGATGTGCTGAGGCAAAACAAACAAATAAACCATGATCTCGAGTTGAAAGCACAGAGTAGATAGTTCAGCATTTTCTTAACAGAGATGAAAAAGAAATTGGGGGTGACCACTGGACCACAAAGGGTTATCTTACACTTCCTAGTCAGTACCACCAGTTTCTCAGAGAAAAGGACTTTAGATCAGCTGGGCTTCATACATTTCTGATTTACTCGGCATGACACTGGATAGATAGAAGTAGAAGATGGAATTCCTGGTCTCTAGGACCTCATAGTTGTACGATGGCACAGGGGCCCAGAGAGGTGAACTCTCACACGGAAGTGTCGGCTCTTCTAGTTGAAAAGATCTGGAGAGGGTTCTGTGTAAAGAGGCAACATCTGGGTTAAGATTTCAAACACGAGAAGACAATGACCAGAGTTAAGTTTGGGGAGACGCTGCTTGAGGTTTGGAGATAAGTAGGAGCTGTTTGTTCAGATACCTGGAGCACATAAACGGTGGCTCACAGGAAGTATGGGATGGAGAGCCACAGGCAAGCTATGAAGTCATCAGGGCGGGATCCTGACGCTCTCCATCTGCCATGCTGAAACAGTAGGAAGCTGGTTAAATCCTGTACTCACACTGCCTTAGTAATGTTTCAGGTCATTTGTGCAGGAAGAGGCGGCCTTTGAGAACAGGCTACACAGTGTGGGGGTGGGTGGGCGTTACCAGGGATTGTGATCTATATCACACTTTGCTGTTCAATTCCAGTCTTCCAGAAACGATTTGTTTGCATCCCCCCAGGAGATAGACCCATGGTGCTGCTGTGGCCACTGGATCTAGGACTCACCCTTATTCAGAATGACCCCATCTAATTTGAAAATAATCATTACATATTATAATTACAAATATGGTCACATTCTGTGGTTTAAGCGGGCCCAAAGTAAGAGCTAAAGGATGCCATGGCTCCACACCACACAACTACAGCATCATGAGTCTGCCCAAATTCTGGGTAGCCAGAAACAGAAGCACCACAGCCTCCTTGGAAGAAGACCCTGTGAAGGCAGAGACAAACGCAGCTGCAAGCCAGGGAAGGCAAGGATTGCAGGCAACCCTGGGCAACTAGGAGAGATGTCGCCCCCAAGAAGGACATTGTTCTTCCCACAGCTGGATTCTGGAGCTCTGGTTCCTGAACCACATGTGGGAAGCTGCCGTGCTGCTGCTTCTGGCTACCCAGAATTTGGGCAGGAAACAAACATAGAAACCAAGAAAAAGCTTTGGCTGATAAAAGATTCTTAGCTGTCTTTTGCTAAGTAAGGCTTTTCCCATTCCGATTTCTTCAAGCAATCATCACGGACAGAAGAATCATTTTGGGAGGTATTTGTGGAATGTGAAAAGTAACTCTCAGTGTCTTAGGAAAATGTTTAATTTCTAGATGTTTTCATTCCCAGTGACAAGGACTAGTCATTACTAAAACTAACTGTTCTTTCTATTTAAGGTTATTTAACCTGGCTTATCTTGAGGAACTTGACGTTTCCTACAATGAAATTTATAATATTCCGAATGAAATCCAGAGACTCAGGTACCCGCAAAGCAGTAGTTACACAGAAAATGACCTGCCCCCCCCCCCCAAGGATGTTTTGGTAATGAGAGTGATGAAGGACTTAGTCTTTTCATTTGTTTCAGTCACAGAATTTAATACGTGAATCATGGACTTTATTTTAAAGTGTAATTTGAATATCTAGTGTATAGTGTCTGCAAGATGTATTTTCAATGATTTTTATAAAAGTAAAATGTGGTAGCCGGGCGGTGGTGACGCACGCCTTTAATCCCAGCACTCGGGAGGCAGAGGCAGGCGGATCTCTGTGAGTTCGAGGCCAACCTGGTCTACAAGAGCTAGTTCCAGGACAGGAACCAAAAGCTACGGAGAAACCCTGTCTTGAAAATCCAAAAAAAAAAAAAAAAAAGTAAAATGTGGTGACCTTTTAATACAATAACAAACTATTTTTGTCAAGTTTTTGGCATGAGTATATATAGCTCTTATACATTTCAATATATATAATATTCAAGTATGTATATTATATAATATATACAAATCACACATATTATATATCATGTACATATAATAAAATTCTTTTACGAATTAATAAAAGTCCTGAACTTAACTGTGTCCTATTTTTTTGTTTTTTGAGACAAGGACTCACTATGCAGCTCTGTCTGATCTGGAACTCACTATGTAGACCAGCCTGGCCTCCAGTTCATAGAGATCCACCTGCCTCTGTATCCCAAGTTCTGGGATTCACGGTGTGGGCCACCATGCCTGGCTCTGTGTCTTATTTTTATTATGAATTTACAATAATGACTAATATGGAAGATATTTTTCAGTAGTTATTTCACTAATTTGAAAGATTATTTGGGAGCTGGAGAGATGGCTCAGTGGTTAAGAGCACTGCCTACTCTTCCAAAGGTTCTGAGTTCAATTCCCAGCAACCACATGGTGGCTCACAACCATCTGGAATGAGGTCTGGTGCCCTCTTCTGGCCTGCAGACATACACACGGGCAGAATATTGTATACATAATAAATAAATATTAAAAATAAATAAATAAAAGAAAGAAAGATTATTTGTCATAATCCTTAAGCTTATGTTATGGAATTGCCTGTCCCTCCTTCAGCATCTACAAGCACAGACTTAACACATCAATTGCAGTTGTCTTGAGTTACAGAGAATTTTTGTTGGAAGTGTTTACTCTCTATTTTTAAACAAGTGGTAGGTGCTAGAGGTATGGCACAGTGGTTAAGAGCACTTGCTGTTCTCCCAAGTTCAGGTCAAGACACCAAAACTGGGTGGTTCACAACCCCTTCAAACTCCATCCAGAATTGGATGCCTTCTTCTGTCCTCCAAGGGCACTGGCCTCACACGTCACACACACACACACACACACACACACACCCCACATGCACTCACACACATAAACACACACATCACACACACATGTAAATATAAATGCTAAATCTAAATCTAAAACACTATGTACTCAATTTTTCAAACTTGTAAAATATTTTATTTTAAATTACATATCTGTGTGTGTGAGGTTGTGTCCGTGTGAGCACAGGTGCCTGGAGTGGCCAGAGGCACTGGATTCCCTGGAGCTGGAGTTACAGGCAGTTGTAAGCCATCTGCTGTGGGTGCTGGGAATGAAACTCGGTCCTTGGCCAGCGTAGATGCTCTTAGCCATGGAACTGTCTTTCAGCCTCTCAAATCTTACTTTATGTCCTTCATAAGAATGTGTGCCTCATTTCATAACTTTCATAATAACTGTCTCCAAGTATTTCAAAATGTGTTTCTATATATAATATTTCTCTTATTTTTAATATTAGCTGATTAAGGTAAATACAGAATAGAAAAGAGGTACTGTTTTAGCCTAAATTTTAACAAATCAAGCTGTGTAACCAAATTTCATTATTAGTTCTCACTGCCTGATTGGTTTTCTAGGAACACAGTTATATTTTCAGCAAAATAAGAAAATTCTTCCCCAGGTTTTCCAATGTTCCTGTCAATTTTTTTGTGTAGTAATCTTTATATTTTACCAGGAGAATGCAGCCTATTCGATGTTGTTATAATAGGTACAGCTATTTTTCTATGTACTTACTTGTCTTTGTCATGGTCTCTGTTGCTGTGAACAGACACCAGGACACAGCAACTCTTATAAAGGAAGACCTCTAACGGGGGCTGACTTACAGTTTTAGAGGTTTAATCCATTACCATCATGGTGGGAATCAAGGCAGCATTCAGGCAGACATGGTACTAGAGATGGAGCTGTGTGTTCTTACATCCTGAGTAACAGGCAGCAGGAAGTGGTCATTCTTTACAGAGCATGATTTGAGCATATATGAGACCACAAAGCCCACCTCCACAGTGACACTCTTCCTCCAACAAAACCTCACCTCCTAACAGTGCCACTCCCCTTGGGGGCCATTTCGTTTCAAACAATATTACTTTACCCTGTACCTTTCTTGCTGGTGATGTGTTTGGATACTGTTTTTTCCCCTCCCCCTGCTTTATTTTGGAGCTTACCAGACTTGCCTGATAGGCTATGGGCCACCTTGCCTTTTCCTGATGCCCCAGCTCTTAGAGGATGCCTTGGGCCATGGCTGTGTCTGGCATTGCAGCTTCCAGGCAGCCCAGACGTCAGGGTTCCTCAGCATGGAGGCAGCAACAGGGTTCCAACAGCCCTGGTCTGGGGTCTGAGACTTCTCTCTGGAATACTCTGGTGACCAGAGTCTGCAGTTTCTCTTCTGTGGTTCTTACAGCTCTTCTCTGGGCTCATCTCAGATCCCCACGCCCTCTTGCCCTCTCTCTCCACCCACTGGCCTCCTTCTTGCTCAGAGTTGCTATACTGCTGCTCCCACACTGCTGAAAATAGGAAAGATTCCCTCAAGGGAAACTTTATATTGTTAGGGAGTTTGTGACTTCTGGGAAAAGACCATAGACTCAATCCAATTATAACGAAGAGATTTATTATCTGCTTTCAGGATGAACAATCTCTGAACCAAATTTGAGATTGCACTGAAGGAGAGGTGTGGGGAAAGGTTTCTAAAGGGGAAGACTGTAGGAAGCCAAAAACTAGTCTGTTCTGCCAAGTTCAATGGTTAAAACAACTCAGAACAATCTTTGGGTGTCTACGTAAGCAAGTTACAGAAACAAAAGTTAGTCCTATCATAGTAAGTGAGTCACGGACAGCTGTACTGTTTGGGGTGGTGGTCACTGAGCCAGGGTTGTTGTGAGCTTCTCTTCCAGGAACTGGAGTCAGAGACACACTGCTAGCCGGTACCAAGGTGGATACCTAGCATAAGATGTGGTTTCTTTAGCCATCACAGTATCACACCTAATGGCCAAACATCACAGGAGGAAACACAGGTGGGTTTCTGTGGAGCGGACTCACTGAGCAAGCCCAGGCACCCTGTTTATACAGCCCAAGAAGGGACAGTAGGGAAAATCACACCTTTGCCTCTTGGCACCAGGCACAAGCAGCTGCTTTCTTTCCCTCTCTGGCATCAACATCACCGAGGCTTGAGATTAGTAAAATATCTAGCCCACACTGTTTGAAACAGTCCTGGCTGAGTCTGCACCAAAACTGTAGCCATCGCCTGAGATCATCATGTAGTTTCTCAGAGTGTGTAGAATGTCCAGCTGGCTGGTCGTGGCACAGGGGTGCATGGGTTACCTATTTGACTCCAGCCTTTTTGGTCCAGGCAGCCAGGACAGTAAGTGAGGGTTCAGCAGCTGCTAAGCAGTCGATCTTCCCCATTCCCAACCTCTTTCCTTAAAGGAACACCAAGATAGGAAGTGCTCACAATATACTCCTGAAGTGATGTCATTAACACTAGTACTGACTTTCAGTGTCTTAAGCTTGCTTAGTTTTTGCCCATGGCCCTAACGGTAGGCAGAGTACCCTTTCAACTGTCTCATTCTCACCTCACAGGCTGGAAGGGGAGAAGGGGTCCTTCCTTGACTTTGTTTATAAGGGTGTTTAACCCATTTGTGAGAACCTAGTCACTTCCTTGAGGCTCTGCTTCCAGGCATCTTGAGAGGAAGACATTCATTGTAAGACTGTAGAGGCATTCTTCGTGTGGTCGTGAGCTCTCTTCCCATCCCACCTCCATTCCCTGGTGCAGACACAGGGCTCTAACTGGCTCTTTCATTATGGTCTCTACAGACTTATTCTTAGTCCTGCTTCATCCTGCCTGCAGGAGCCCCACCTCCACTACCTCCATTCCCTGGGGACTCTGCATCTTGGAGCAGACCCAGGGTATCCTTGGCTCTCTCCTGCTTCCCCTCTCAACCTTTCCTCCTGACCCATCTCTATTCCTCGATGTCACACATTGACCCACAAAGATAGGCTCTACCAAGGACCCCGCAGCCACCACACTTGCTAAGGCTGCAGAGAGGGCAACAGGAACCGAGCAACAGAACATGACCAACAAAACATGACAGGATAGTTACACCAAGAAACACTTCAACTATCATAACTCTAAATGCCTGGATCCTGATGCAAAAACACAAAGATGGACATCTAAGTCAGTGGACCTCCTCCAGAAGCCAGCAACCCCACGCAGTATTCCCTGCAAAAAGAAATTCAGATGAAACACAAAACATGGACTTCAAAATAGCAATTATGACTATGTTAAAGGACCTTAAGGACCACATGAGTAAGTACCTTAATGAAGACCGTGGGAACAGAAAGAATAAGTTGAATGAAATAGCGAAAACAATTCAAGCCATTAAAGTAGAATTGGACAAAGAAGTAGAATCACTAGAGAGAGTCCAAATTAAAATAAACCTAGAAATGAAAAACTTAGATGTCAAACAAAAGCCTTAGAGGTAAAGCCGCACTGACACCAAAAGATTACAAGACATGGAAGAGAAAATGTCATGTGTTGAAAACATGGTAGAAGTGAATAGCTCAGTCAAAGAAAGTGTTAAATCTTTTTTTTAATATTTATTTATTATGTATACAATATTCTGTCTGTATGCCTGAAGGCCAGATGAGGGCGCCAGACATCTTTACAGATGGTTGTGAGCCACCATGTGGTTGCTGGGAATTGAACTCAGGACCTTTGGAAGAGCAGGCAATGCTCTTAACCACTGAGCCATCTCTCCAGCCCCGAAAGAGTTAAATCTTAAAAAAAAATTGAGGCATAAAATACCCTGGAAATATGGGAAACTATGAAAAGACCAAATCTATGAGTAATTGGTGTAGAGGAAGAAGAAGAAACCAGGTCAGAGGCACAGAAAATATTTTTAAGCAAATCATAGAAGAAAATTCCCAAAAAGCACACCTCACCTTGAAGAATAGATATCGCCTCAGGGTAAATGGATGAAAACGGGTATTCCAAGCAAATGGTACCAAAGAAGCCAGCAGGTGTAGCTATTTTAATACCTGACAAAATAGACACAAGATGAACTAATCAGAAGATATAGGGAAGGACACTACATAATCAATATAGGGAAAATCCACCAGAAGGAACAAAGAACCAGTAATACACACTGGAGAAAAGACAGCATCTTCAACAAATGTTGCTTGTTAAACTGGATGGCTGCATATTAAAGAATGAAAATAGATCCATATTTATTTTCTTGCCACAAAGCTCAACTCCAAATGGATCAAAGACTGCAACATAGGAACATGTAACCTGTGTTGGATAGTTTCATGTCAACTTGATGTAAGCTAGTATTATCTGAAAGAAGGGAGCCACAATTGATAAAATGCCTTCATAAGATCCAGCTCTAAGGCATTTTCTCAATTATTGAATGATGGAGGCAGGCCCAGGCCATTGTGAGTGGTGCCATCCCTGGATTGGTGGTCCTGGGTTCTATAAAAAAGCAGAGTGAGCAAGCCATGGGGACCAAGCCAGAAAGCAGTACCCTTCCATGGCCTCTGCATCAGCTCCTGACTCCAGGTTCCTGCCCTGTTTGAAGCTCTTGCCCTGACTTTCTTCAGGCAATTGAGTATTTTCTTCTTAAATTCTAAGAACAACATATTGGTGAACAGCAAAATGGAAGTGTAAGTGTTAGCCAAACAAACCCTTTCCTCCCCACCTTGATTTTTGGTTATGGTGTTGAATCAAAGCAACAGAAACTCTGACTAGGACCTAACCTGAACTTGACAGAGGAGAAAGGGGGGAATAGACTTGAACTCATCAGCACTGGAATGGGATTTCTGAACAACACACTGAGAGTACAGGCACCAAGACCAAATATTAATTAATTAAAACTTTATGAAGTCAAGTAACTTCTGTATGGAAAAGCATACCATCATTTGGACAAAGCAACAGCCTACAGAAGAGGAAAATGTCTTTACCAAGTATACATCTGATAGAGGGTTAGTGTCTAGAATATATGAAGTATTAATCAAAAAACCTGAACACCAAGAAAACAAACTAATTACAAAATGTGGTGTTTTTTTTTTAATAAACTAAACAGACTTTCCGAAAGATGAAACACAAATGATTGAGAAACTCTTAAATAATGTTCAACATCCTTAGCCATCAAGGAAATGCAAATTAAGACTACTTTGAGATTCCATCTTGCACCAGTCAGAAAGGCCAAGATCAATAACACAAATGATTGTGCCTGCTGGTGGGGAAAGTGAAATAGTTATTCTCAACTGGTGGGAGCGCAAACTGGTATACCCAGACCTCCTTTTCTACCAACTAAAATGTCTGGTGCCAAGAATGGATTACATCTTGTTGAGTTATTGGCAAAGGGTCACATGGAACCTCCCCAAATGTCATTGGTTATTGCCATGGTTGTTAGTTGCTTTCCACCACCTTATGGTAAGGGCCTATTGCTGAAGGCAATGCTTATTTATTTCATGGATCATGGGGAAATCAAGCTAGTGCCTAACTGGAAGTTTCATCCCTACTGACTGGGATTCATGGTGCTGGAAGGTACCCTGCAGGCTACCAGAGGACAAAGGTAGCCATCAGCCCAGCTACAGACACTGTGACCTACAACAGTGACCTGTCTGCATGATAATAGTTGCAGAAATGTCACGGGGGTAACCAATCACTCTCTGATTTGGATTTAAGGTTGCTCTATGATATGAAAGCCATACCAGATGCTGCTAAACTGACCAAGAAACAGATTAGAAAAGATATGGACCTAGGAAAAAACAAATACCACTATTCTGCTGAAGGAACATCACAATGAAATGACTCCTGATGACATTGTTGTCGTCATAGATAGGCCAATGCCTGGCTCAGCCATCAGCAGAGAAACATCTTGCGATAGATGAGAGCTAACACAGAAATTCAAAACTACACAGTGTGCAGTGGGAGACTTTGGAGCACCAAGGCCTAAATGGGATGTCTTCATGAAACCTTGCCCCTCAAAGCTCAGGGATCTGTGCAGAAGAGGAGGTGGGAAGATTGTAAGACCTGGAGATGCTTCATGACTCCAAGGATACAGTATCTTCAGACACAGCAGAACTGATGCACATATGAACTCACAGAAACTGGCTGCATGCAGAAGATCTGCACAGATAGGGTCCAGCACAAAGAGGGGGGATGTGGATGTGATGTAGGGTCTCATTCCTTACCAATAATTATTTGCAACCATTGCATGCTATCAAAGGGAAAATCAAGTTTTTACCAATGGGAAATCATTGCATATAGTAATCACACCCCAGGGCAGGCTCCGTGCTGGTCATTAGTTAGCCATCATCGGATGAACTCCATGGTTTGTTGTTGTTTTCTGATCTTTGTTTTGTGGTTGTAGTGGTGAACTTTTTGTTTTGGCATTTTTGCCTTATTTTGGCTTTTGGCTTTGTGATTTTTGTTTGTGTGTGTGTGTGTGTGTGTGTGTGTGTGTGCTTGTGTGTGTGTGTGTGTTTTAAAGAGAAAGAGATAAACAAAGATGAGTGGGTAGGCAAGTGGCAGGATCTGGAAAGAGTTATGGTAGGGGAAGGAACATGATCAAAACATATTTTATGATGATTTTAATAAACAGTGTATAAGAAGTGTGCAAATGTTCAAATCCTAACAGTACTCTGCTACTGACCCTTAGGTTTGTGTTGCCTGTAGAGGGACGTGATTGTGTCCATTCTGTCCTTTTGGACAAAATAAAAGCCTGGGGTTTGCCTCACATAGAGCTGCCCTCAGTATGTGGTTAAGAACGGTAGTCAAGCTGTATTTGAAGAGCCTCTTTGTTTGAAACTTTGATCATGTTTTACTTTGTCAGCAAGAGTTTCCATCAGAGAACCCAGTTTGGAACAAAGGGATATGAGACTAGATTGTCACGGAGCGTTCAGAAGCTCCCACCCGCTCAACCACCTGGAGGCCTGTTTACCTGTAGAGCATTTTGACAGTGATTTGATGTTTGTATGTCCCTTGTTTACAGAAACTTTTCTGTCCACCTTCAGCACTCCTTAGAAAAGAGACTTCAGGAAATACCACTGAGGCAGTGAGGAAAATCAGTCCCGTTCAGTCTCTTTGAATAAAGGGAAAGGATTGCTAGAAACGGTTGGCCCAGCGAAAAGCAAAGGACCAATTTGCTGAGGAGCCAGAGCATAACATAACAGTATATTTTGATGTCATATACTTCACTGTTTTTATTAGGCATTAATGAAAACATTTATTGGCGTTCCATTTGTCTTTGAAAATACTTTTTTTTTTCTGTATGTCACCACACTGTGTTTATGTGGTGTAACACTTTTTAGTCCTCTGCTTTTTCCGTGGCTATTTCTTTGTCCAGAGTGATGATGTTTGCAGAGACTCACCCAAGGGCATCATCCATCAGCTGTCCTGTTCACACAAATGTGCTTCTTTGCATAATGATATATTGGTTCAGTTTTTCTATAAGGAAATTCTCTTGAGTCCACGAAAATATTAAGATAGATGTTTTATTCCCACCTGTGTGGGTGCCAGGTTTCAAGAACACCAGTGCAGAAATTCACATGAGTACTATAAATTGCATGACTATCTTCTAAAATATGATGTCTCTTCTGTACAGATCACTTGAGAAGCTGATTGTCGATGGGAATTACATGACTTCTTTTCCACCTGGGATTTTAAGGCTGAACTTGACCAAACTCCAATTCAATAATACGTTCACTAGTTGCCATTTTTGGTCAGAGTATTGCTGTAACAACCCCCCACGACTAACTCATATTTGTGCTTTCTTCATTGTCAAAAATGATCTACATAAAGTTTATGATTTCATCCCAAAGAGAGCTCAAAGGTGTTTAAGAATGTAAGTACTTTCAAGCATGCTTTTTATCAAGACACACTTCTGAGTATTTCACTAGCCCACACACAAACAGTTCTTCCTTTACTCATTCTTGCTTTGCAGGTATACTAGTTTACTCTAAATCAGTCCCATTTTATAACATTCTCCAGTTATTTCTAAAGTTCGGTGATGGTGGGCAGTATCTATGCATCTATTAGTTAAACCTTGTCTGTGAATTACTAAGTACACAGAAGTGATTCCTTTCCAAGACTGTTAAGTCCCGAGGGACATGCTTTACTCGGTTCTGCCCTAAGCGATACCAGGAGTGGATCAGGCAATACAGATGCACGCGCACACACACACATCAAGAATCAATGAGCAATTGACACTTTGTTACCTAATCCCAAGACTAGGGTTCTTAGGGGGTCCACTGAAATGTTATAGAACCATTTTGACTATGTAAGTAAAGGAAATTACCATCATTATCACTGGGACTATGAATTGTACAAATAGTATGCCTAAGCAAAATGGTTTCCCAGGAATATTTTAAAAAGCAATATTGACTCAGTAAAGACATATGTAGCATAGCTTTGATCTTGATTGTCCCTCAAAGAACCATGTGCCAATGTCTTTATCCCCAAGGTGCTGCTCCTGGGAGATTAACAACCAGGAAGAGGTGGGACCTAGTGAAAGATTCCCAGGTTCAGGGAGAGCATATCCTTTAAGGCAGCTATGAGGTCTCAGTTCCTTTAGTTTTTTGGCCATAGATGTGTTAGTGGCTTTGTTCTGCTACTAACTTCCACCATGATATGAGAATATGGCTCCATAAGAGTGTGTGTGTGTGTGTGTGTGTGTGTGTGTGTGTGCGCGCGCGCGCGAGCGTGTGCATGTGTGTGTGTCTGGCATTGAGAAAGACTTGGATTTAATCCCCAGAACCCCAAAAGAAGCCCAGTCCCATCTCTCCAGGGACTAGAGAGATGGCTCCATGGTTAAGAACTCTGCCTGCTCTTCCTAAAGGTCCTGAGTTCAATTCCTAGCCACCACATGGTGGCTCACAACCATCTGTGATGAGGTCTGGCGCCCTCTTGAGGAAGAAACATGGTCAGTTGTCCTCTTCTACTTAGACCAGGAAACCCAATACGGGCAAGTTCAACAGAACCACCATATACGGGCTGCCCACGCATGCTTCAGTACTGCCAGAGCATAAATTTCATTTTCATTCACCTCAAAAGAAGAGGAGGCTCCCCACATTCACTTTCCAATTACAATGCACTGTGCACATATACGCTTACTTTAAAAAGCAGGTTCCTTGCACACATATTTAATCTGCTGTTCCCTGTATTAGGATTTAATTTTTGACTTAATAGTAGATGCCTTGTCTAGATGTCAAATCGATAAAAACCAAGCAGTAATTTTTACTTTAGCGGAAACTCAAAATATCCTCTTGATGTCTCTCTTCCTTTCAGCACATCCAGGTGTGACTGGTGTCATGGTCCCAAGTATGGTGAAGGTTTTCGCATCATCCGATCCTGTAATATGTTTGGATCAATCCAGATTCCTATCATGTTCTTTGTCTGCTCTTCTCCCTGCTATCTGGAGATCAGGGAGACCAGTTTTGTTTTAGAAGGTTTTCCTTGTAGAAGAATAGCTCTAAATATGGACTGGGTGAAAGAAGGGAGAGCTAGTGATGTATAATTTTATTTGTAAAGTCCACAAAGACTTATGTATGAGGAAGTCATCTCTTAGCACCTAGGTTCTGTGTGGAGACCTACAGGTCTTCTCCGCTGAGTTCTCTCTGTCTGATTGTTAGGGATCATTGTGGAACTGTGCCGCGGGAACTAGACGTGGCCTTTGGGGTTCAGTTAGGCTCTTGAGAATTTTCTGGAGCACATGCTTACAGTAAGAAAAAAAGATGTTCAAAAACATTTGCAGAAAGCGCTGCATCTTCCATCTTGTCTTTTCATGAACCCATATTCAGTGACGAGCCAGCCGCTTGAAACCATCACAGAGAACTCTGCCATCAAGGCCGCAAAGTTGTATGTCCAGGTATCCAATGTTAGTTTGTGTGTTTCTGTGAAAACCTGTCCATCGCTGACCATCTCAGTTGGTTTTCTTTTGAGAATAAAAGATTAAATTCCAACTCGATTTTTTTTTTTTGAATTGGTTTCCCTGCCTCTTAGAAAACTAATACAATCATAAAACCAATACAATCAGTGGTTACCTTGTCCTTTAGTCCACAAAGTTGAGACTAACTCTACGGGTCGGCACTGAATTTACTGTAGACTTTGATGAGAGCCAAACCAGAAAGCAGAATTCAGTGACACTACAAAGCAGTACCCACCTAAAATGGAACTTGGGTTTATTTCGAAAGCTGGAAAGATGGCTCAGCAATTAAGAGCATTTGTTGCCCTTGCAGAGGACCCTCGTTCCCAGTACCCGCATGGTGGCCCAGCGACACCCATAACTCCAATTCCAAGGGATCAGGTACCTTCTTCTGACCTCTGAGGGCACCAGGATGCATGCATGCAGGCAAAACATTCATACACATAAAATTAATTTTTAAAACACTGTCTAAGTGTTTATTTTGTTTAAAAGAAGGTATGGGGGTTTAAACAAGGATGGCCCCATAAAGTCGTATATTTGGATACTTGGTCCCCTGTTGGTGAACTGTTTGGGAAGGATTAGGAGGTGTGGTCTTATTGAAGAAGCTATGTCCCCGGGGGCTGGCTTTGAGGTTCCAAAAGCTATGTGCTGTGCCCAATAAGCTTTCTACCTCCTGCTTGGCATTGGAGATGTGAACTCTCAGCTGTTCCTTCAGCTGTGCGCTCACTCTATTATGGACTCTAACCCTCTGGAGCCATTAGCCCAATTAAACATTTTTTTATCAGTTGCCTTGGCTGTGCTGTTTTATCACAGCAATAGAAAAGTAACTGAAGCACCATCTTCCTTATTCTCTTCATCTGGCTTCTGAGACCCATTCTGTGGTCTCTCCATAGTCCAGCAAAGCTGGTTTTTTTTTGTTGTTGTTGTTTGTTTGTTTTTATCCAGGGGTTTTCCTGAGCAAAAGGTGAACACACATTTTGGTAAAACAATTTCAAATGGCACATGACTATTTCATGTATGGCATGTGATTTTTTTGTGTGCTGTTAATTTGATCTAAAATAGTGATAATTTAATGAAATAAACTGATTTATACTTCAGCTTTCAATCTTTGCTGTCATATAATTAGAGATTGTCATAATGCATAAACTATGTCAGATCTTTGTGTATCATTTTAAGAATATTTAAAGATAAAATAACAACACAAGAATATTGTAAGAGGTTTATTTGTAATTGTGTGTATTGTGTTATGGGGAATCTTTACTTACGGGTGTAGATGCTCACCAGATTAGACACATGGAATTTCCTTAGAAATGGGGTTACAGGTGGTTGTGAGCTATGCAACATGGGTTCTGGGAGGCAGCATGGGTTGCCTACAGGAGCAGCCCATGCTTTGAACAGCCTTCTAAAGAATAATAGTCCTCCTAAATAACTTTTCTGATTATGAAATTCAATAAACAGAGATATCAGAGTTTGCTGAGTTGTCTATACTGTGTTTTCTAGGAAAACAAACTATTTATTATAAGAGAAATAACTGCCTTCTCACACATAGAATCCAGAAAGGGATATTGACAACATGGTAACAATTTAGTCAGCATATGATATACCTATAATCAGAAAATAAGGTAAAAATAACAAGATTACGTCTTATTGGTGTATAATACTCATGATCATGGTTGCCCTGAAATATGTCCCTAGGGAAGAAGTGTGAGTTACTTGTTTTTAGAACTAAAAATTGACCCTAAGGCTTTGCCCATGCTAAGCAAGCTCTCTCTCCACAAGGTAAGTCCCTAGCCCTCTATTTACTTTGAATTTGAGACTGGGTCTTACTTAGTCACCCATGCTGGCCTTGAACTCACTCTGTTGCCCAGGCAACCTTGAGCCTGCTATCTTTCTGCTTAGCTTTTGGAGTGGCTGGGATTATAGGACTATGTGACAATAGTGACTATGCAGCTTTATCTTGAGGAGCTGGGTAGAAACTGAGATAGGCAGTAATGTTTTGAGGGAAACAGAAGAATTACAGAGACATTTTATAGAAGCACATACACCTAGACATGGGAACAATGGGAAATGTTCTTTGAGTTGTGCCTTATGTTCAGTGTGAACTGCCTTGCAAAGACCTTGCATAGAGCTGCAAGTCAAATCATAGTGTGTCAGGCATATTTATTATATAAATTTTAAAACATACGATTAAGCCTGAGAAGTAAACCTACCCTGTAGTGCCACATCCTTTGAGAGCCAAAGATAACCAACACGTGTATGTGCTTATGCACATTTATATAATAAATATATTGCATTACTGTGCTTGCAAATGGAATTACTTCCATCTTCAGATGCCTCACACCACACCACAATTCACACTCCAATTGTAGGCCTAACGTTCTAAAACTTCAGGAATAAAAGAAAGACACATGGACTTTAAGAACTTAGTTCAGTAACAGTATTTGCCGATCACACACGAGGCATCGTGCCCCGTCCCAAGGACATCAAAGAAAAAAAAATCTGTGAAGGTAAAACCACTCATCCTATACAAGGTTACAGGGCAAGCAACGCACGGGGAGTGTAACTCCTCTAGGCCTCTAGGAATCTTCACTGGAAATGACGGAAACACATTAGAAGCAACAAAGGGAAATCTATCGTTTCGTGCACGCATCCACCAGCAAGATGTTTCCGTAGCTCAAACTGTGTTACTCAGGTGCTATGTATTTACCTGTCTGCCCGCCATCTGTCTCTTCACACCACTTTTTAATTTGCCTTCTGCCCAAATGGTCTCCTCCCATTCCTGTTTCTGGGTAAATCTCTGACTCCAGCAGGCTGTGAGGCACGCAGCAATTAGGATGCCCACATGAGATCTCTCTTTCAAATATTCTTGGTTTATTCACACAAACATTCCTTATTCTACCATGCTAATATAAAAGTTAAATAAATAGACATCTCACCAAGTTAGGGGCGGGGGGGGGGGGGGAACAGTGTGTTGATCAGAATCCGCTGATGCGTGGCTCCATGGGAAATCTTCTCTGGTTAGAATACTCCAGGAGCTTCAGACTCAACCCACACCAGGAGGACGACGCTGGTAGAGGTCCAGAAGGTCCTTGAGCACATTGGCCAGTGGTTATCATTGGCAGGTGCATTAGCAGGTGCACATGTGTGAGCTCAGCACCAGTGCCATAGGTTAGAACATCTCCAAAGCCAGTCTCAAAGTCCTCTTGCCACTGGGTATCAGTAAAGTCGATAGCTGAACAGCCCTGCAATCCTAGGGGCCACCTTCAAAGTTCCTAGGTTTTCATTGCATTATCAGGGCTCTCAGCTTAGGGATGGTTCACTGACAAATCCGTGCTATCGTGGGGTTAGTTCATTAGCGTATCAAGGCCCATCTCGGGCTTGCCTGTATCTGAACCACCTGATCCGCAGGCTCTCATCTTACAGGCACTGCATTATTCCAGTTTACATAAAACGAGTTTCAAGTAACACAACGTGGTTTGCTCATTTTCCTAACACTGACCTAAAGTGATGTGGGGAGGAAGGGGTTTATTTGGCTTACATTTTCAAGTCCTAGTCCAACTTTGGGGTAGTTCAGGAAGTCTAGGTAAGAAGCAGAAGGCAGGCTTGCTTGCTGTTGATAGCGTATATTACCTCTAACCAGGGAACTCACAGCCAAGAAAGGACAGAACAAACCGTAGAGGAGTGTTGCTCGATGGCACACTCACTCAGGCCCCTGCTTAGCTAGCTTTCTTAGCAAGACAGGACTGCCCGTCCAGGGAATGGTGCCAGCCACAGTAAACTGGGCATCCTCTATCAATTAACAGGACAATCCCCCATACATGCCAATCCGATCTAAACAATTTCTCAGTTGAGGCTTTACTCTCAGATGGCTGTAGGCTTTACCCAAGGTGACTATTAGAACTAACTGGAACATTCGGAAAGCAATGATGGCTAATGACAATTCTAAGTTAATATACAAGAGCCCTAGGAACTCTAGAGAGACATCTGCCATTTATCCCAGCTGTGATACTGTGACACACATCGGGGGTGAGCTCCATTGATTCAGCTCGAGTCACCTGTCCACACGTGTCTTAGATAGGGTTACTACTGCCGTGGTGAAACACTGTGGGAGGAAAGTTCACTCACGGTTCCACATAACAGTTTATTGTCAAAAGTAGTGAGGGCAGCAACTCACGCCAAGTGGGAACCTGGAGGGCAGGAGCTGGCACAGAGGCCATGGAGGAGAGCTGCTTTCTGGCTTTCTCCCCTTGGCTGGCTCAACCTGCTTTCTCAAAGAACCACCAACCCAGGAATAGCCTCACCCACAATGGACTAGGCCCATTGATCACTAATTGAGAAAATGCCCACAGGCTTGCCTACAGCCTAATCTTAGGGCGGCATTTTCTCAACTGAGGCTCCCTCCTCGCTGATCACTCTTGCTGGTGTCAAGTTGACATAAAACTAGCCACTGCAACATATCACTCTCTGGATGCAGCCCTACAATTGGCTACACATGAGTCACAGGCCCATTTCTAGAATTGAGAAAGGCGGAATAAACCTCTTCCAAAGCACAGGAACTAAATTCTCCACAAGAGAATTGTTCTAGAACTGAA